TTTCGCTATTTAAACGTTGTAAACCTTTTGAAGCAGCTCAGTTTTGAAGAAAATAAAGTTTTTCTTGAATTTCTCTTGATTGAAATTCTTTTTATGAAATTTTTGTCTTTCCTATAAGCTTCCCCTGCATCAGGTTTCCATATCAAAATATCCTGACAAGGCTTGCAAGCATGAAGTTTTTGCATAATATTACCCGCCAACTCTTTTCCAACTAGTTCATGTAACCTCTCAACATCTCATCCGGACTCCAAACACACATTCTATATTCTCAAACCAGGCTGGTTAATGTTAATAACTTGGTGGCATAAGGGGCCATTCGGCATCCCATGAGAAAACCAAAACGAGATATTTCCTTCCTTGACCTTCCATTGATTGGTACACTAAGCTAGAAAGTCAACAAGTAATGTTGGCATTTACATTGTACTATAAATAAATTTATAGTTATTTATGAATTTGTTGAAATTATTGTTTCAGCGTCACTCATCAGTTGGAGAATGTTCAAATCATAGATGCCAAGGAATGGTTTCACGAAATACTGACACACGAGGAGTGGCTTGGAGACGATGTAAGCACAATTTTACATTATGTTCATACGGTACATGTTATTTACATGCCATTTTCTCTTATTTATATATTTATATTGCTATCTTAATTAAACAAAAACAATTTTTTTTATTTTATAAAGTTTATATTTTGTCTTTTTATATAGAGTTATTATCTTAACCTTATTTGTTTTGATACTGATTTCACATTGAAAAATAGACAAATTAAATCTGATTAATATATTTACTAAAATGATGAACCAAAAAGATTCTAAGCTTTAAATCTGCCAACTTTTTTACAATTTTATTATTATGATAATATTACTTTAATTTTTTGAACTTAGAGAGAGAAAGAGAGAGAGAGAGCGAGCTACCAATCAAACAATATAAAATAGATGTAAAAAAAGCAATGTAGAATATTAAATGAATATGTTGATTAGTTAATTATTTGTCAATCATATTTAATATTTATGACAATATTTATAATGGTATTGGAATTTTGAACTAGCTTAGTTAAATTATTCAAAATATTTAATGAATATGTTGATTTGTTAATTATTTGTCAATAGTATTTGAAAAAAATTCCATATTAATAATTTTTTAAAATTTAAATATTTATAATGATGTTCTCTTCAACTAAAATGTTTCATCTAAAAAACGATATTTAAGAAATAAGTAAAGCAAAATATATAGTTAAGTTAGAAGGGTAAAATGGAATAGATATAGACACATTCCATCCCATTGCAATGATGATAGGGGGTGTTCGTAGTATATTTATTTTGAATGACATGAAAATCTGTTACAAAAAGTAAACCCAAAAGGAAGTTTTTTGAATTTTTTGAAAAGGGAAATGGTGCTGTATAATTGTCATTAACGTCGGTAGATATTTAAGTAATTTGTTCTAAGAGTAATGCTATTCATCTCCACTGGGGATAGAAACACAGTTTACGTGGCGTTAATGTAGCATTAAATGATACGTGAGATTAAATAAGTCATTTAATTTCACATTTCATTTAACCTATCATTTAAAACCACATAAACTGTGTTTTCATTCCCATTGGGAATGAATAACATTACTCTTGTTCTAATTTTATTATAAAATCACGTGCAAGGTATTTGTTTCGAACTAGTTAAAGAAAAGTTGAAACGAAAAGTCCCAAGAGGACATCGTGTCCTACTCCCATCCCTACCCACTCCAAATGAAACCTAAGTCTACCAAGTACCGTGCCCACCAACTCATCTTGTTACTTGTAACTTTGTACAACTCCTAACTTCGGCTTCTCCCATTCCAACCCTCTTAAATTCGACGCTCCAACTCCAACCCCAACCCCAATGCCAACCCCCTCTCCAAGTTTTGCCTCTTCTTTCTAGTTTCATACTCCATCTTAGCCCTGGCCTAGGGGTTTTGTTGGGTTTTGATACCCAATAAATATGGGCGATGATGTTATTCGATTTTTTAGTTGGATTATACTTCATAGGCCTCGGCCGATGAGTGAAGTGAAATGTCAACACCACAATCGAACCAATCGAATCACGTAATCCACTTGGGTCATTTGAAGCAGCATAATTAATTAGAGTTGCTCATGGCCGAACACAAACACTTGGATGGCTTTAAGGTGTTAGCCCACTTACCCCTTTTCTTATTGGGCCTATTACTTGACCTAAAAGCCTAACCCATTCCTAACCTATTTATCTTGGCTGCCCACTACTGTTTTGTGTGTGAAAGATTATTATTACAGCCGCCCCTTTTTGAGTAGAGAGAAAAAACGGTTCTTGTCTTGCTTGGTGCAAAATTGGCTATGTACTCTTCCCGGGAGAGACCCGTTTCTTCCTCTTCTCTGCCTAGCCTTTGTGGCTGTTTTTCTAAGACTGTAATCTTTCATCCCTAGTCCTTTGTGGGCTGAAATCATTGGAGCAACCAGTGTTTGGGAAA